GAAGGAAGGTTTTAGGGTTTAGGGTTTAGGGTTTAGGGTTTAGGGTTTAGGGTGTTTTCAGGTTACACTTAAAGGGTCATGGGACTTGGTAAGTAGGGTTAGGACTAAGGCTACTATACTTATATTTACTTTTAACCCCAATTAAGGGACTTATAACCTTACTTACTAAGCCCCATGATCCTCCCAGTAAGGGTTTGGTTTCTTTAGGGTTTCCTGTATGGGTTCAATTAAGGTTTCCTTTAAGGGTCTCAACGGTGTAGAGCTTTCGGGCTTGAATTTAGGATTCAGGGTTCAGGGGCGTATGAGGGTTAGGGTTTAGGGGTTTGCATTCGTAGGACTTCATGTGGGGTCTTCGGGCAGGGCTTTATAAGGGTTTCCTAGGATTTCACACGGTTGTACAGGATTCTACGAGGTGTTGATAGGGCCCCAGAGAGATCGGAGTAGCCGTTTAGGGCTTGGTGTTTTTTTTGTTGAAGGGCTGCTATAACCCTAAACCCTAAACCCCCGAACTCTGAATTCCGTATAGACCTTAATGAACTAACGGTTTAGGCTACAGGGATTGAGGGGAGCATGGTTTCGGGACTTCAAGCATAGGCGTCCATCACTGATTCTGTGTAGCCGAGTAGGTGTCGTTTTTCCTTTCTGATATCAGCTCTTTGAGTTTCCACAACTCTACCACACTCCAGAGGCTACTTGGAGGACCATGGGACTTAGTAAGTAAGGTTATAAGTCCCTTAATTGGGGGTTATAAGTAAATATAGGTGGTGTTACCGCAATTATAACCCTACCTACTAAGTCCCATGATCCTTTGAGTATCCTTCCTCCGCATCAGGGTCGGAAGCTCCCCGACAGTGTGAGGCCCGAGATAGTAGACCCGAGATAGCTCAAGACTCCCTGCTGAAGAATGTTGCATAAGCCATGCGAAAGAAGCCCTATATGGTTTTGTAGAATATTCCTTCATGAAAGAATGTTGGGCTCACTGGGATATTGGCAACACCCAGGATAGATCTCGTTTGACACGTTTCCCCAGCTGAAACACTGTGAAGGTATGGACCGACAAGGACGATTAGGATGAGAAGGGTGCACACTTGGAGGATCATGGGACTTAGCAAGTAAGGTTATAAGTCCCCTAAATGGGGTTATAAGTCTAGTTACCTTAGTTATAACCCTTACTTACAAAGTCCCATGATCCTTTAAGCAAGCCCTAAACCCCCTAAACCCCAAAGCTCAAACCGTAAAGCCTCCACCCTCAACCCTGAACCCCAGAGCTCCTGAAGCCCTAAACCCTAAACCCAAAACCCTAAACCCTAAACCCTAAACCCTAAACCCTAAACCCTAAACCCTACCTATAGTCCCAAACTTCCAACCCGTCGAACGCCAGTCTCAAATCTCGGAGGAGCTGCGGCTGATGGTCAGAGGCAAGGCAGCGATGCGGTTTAGGTTAGGGTTTAGGGTTTTGGGTTTTGGGTTTAGGGTTTAGGGATTACTTAAAGGATCATGGGACTTAGTAAGTAGGGTTATAAGTAAGGTAACTATACTTATAACCCCATTTAGGCGACTTATAACCTTAGTTACTAAGTTCCATGATCCTCCAAGTAGGGTTTAGTAAACCTTGCAACTCAACATCACAATGCCGATTCAAACGCAGCCCCACGGCCCCAAACTCTACACCGTGGCTCGGTAGGGTCCTTGGGGTTTATGCTATGGTTCGAGATCTTTCACTTCTATTCGGTGCTATTCAGGGGACCTCAAAGAACGAAAAAATGGTAGACACTGGGAGACCTAGGACCTAGACTAACATGCCTCCGGCACCCGCTGCAAAAAGTCACACCGAGCTTGGAAGCCCGAAATTTGACATAGGACCTACTTTTCCGCATGCTTCCTGCATGACTAAGCAACGGAGCACCACAGAGATCCCGACGTGCCTAAACCGCAAACCCTGAACCCTAAACTCTAAACCCTATTAGCCCTAAACATCCCTAAACCTAAACCCGCTAAATCCTGAACCCTAAGTTCCAAAACTCCCGAATCCCAAATTTCGGGTCCCTTATCCCTAAACCCTAAACCCTAAACCCTAAACCGTACAACTTCACTCTCGGAAGGACGGCCTTGGAAAAGCGCTTGGGCCAGTACGTACTTCGCAAGCCTGAACCCCCAAGAGTCCATGCACCCAAACAGCATGTACTTCATAGGTATCACGGGCTCCTTTCCGGGTTCCTTTAAGGGTTCTATAGGGTTTAGGCTTTAAGAGTCCATGTACGCAAACAGTGTATACTTTAGAGGTATTTTGGGGCCAAAGTATGTATTACTTGGGCACTCTTAAGATTATTATCGGTACACTTGAAATTGGTCCTGTCCGTCTTCCACAAGCCATAGCTCACTTCGTTAGCCTTCATTACGTGGTGCATGGCATTCTTAGATACTATAGCCCTGGACGCGCGGCCACTACCAGCGCATGCAATTTGTGGTAGGAAGTTGCAGAAACCCACCTGTGCTTGTAGCCTTACTTTAAACAAGCGGCTGGTTACCGGGGAACCTAGCAATGTGTAAATAGGACCGCCAGACGACCTATGTTTGGCCTGGTGTTAGCAAAGGACGCTCAAGGGTCTAGGCTTTCGATGCCGACAGAACCAGCGACAGGTAGAACCCTAAACCCTAAACTAGGGTTTGGGATTTATAGGGGGGCATCAGCCGCATCCAGAACGCAAGCGATTGCGCTCCTACCTCTAATGATCCTGATGATCGGGTCAGCTAACGGCCCCTCCGAACTCTCGCGACCGCGACCGAACTCTCGCGACCGCGACCGACTCGACACCCTACCGGAACCTTCAGATGGGACACCTTCGACCTCGGTTGTTGCCCAACTAAACCCTAAACCCGATCACGTCACCTCCAGCAAGCTTTAACATGTTCAAAGAAAGCTCTGGAACCAATTGCCTAGCCGCTTGCCTCCCTTAGACCTAAAGTCTATGTCAAGTACAGTCCACAGCACTGTGGAAGGCCTCGTTGCCGGCTTCCGCACGCTATGCCTATCTTTCGTACTTCTGGTGGCGGTGCTCTATGTGATCTCTGGCTTTGCTACAATGACGATTGGCATCCTGGCTTTATGAACCATGCCCCCGGCCCTGAACTCTAATATAGGGGCCTTAATAAGATTTACCAATACTATTTTGGGGGTTCCTTGTCATGATTTTCGTATAATGTGCACCAAAACCCTATTCTAATTATTAAGGCTCCTACATTAAGCTCGTAATCCTAAACCCTAACCCAAAGCCCTAAACCCTAAGCCCTGAACCAAAAGCCTTAAACCTTGGGGGCGGAGGCTCGAAGGTTGTGAGATGTCCGGGCTGAGTAAGTAGTAGAGCAGGCATCCTTTAATTTGTGTTGGGTAGTGTCGTGCTGAGCACATATCATAATATACATTTGTATATACCATATATATATATATATTAATATTATATATATATATTATATATACATACATATACATAGTTGTATATATATATATATAAGATACATAAATAGATATGTACAGACATGCATACATATGTGCATACACACATACGTATATAACACATACTTCGACATACCGATGTGTAGATGTGCATATGTATATGTGGTGTGTGTGGTTGTGCATACATGTGTACATATATAGATAGATAGATGGATAGACAGATAGATAGATAGATAGATAGATAGATAGATAGACAGGTAGATAGGTAGATAGGTAGATAGGTAGATAGATAGATACATAAATAGATAGTTGGATACATAGATAGATACATACATACATAGATCGATCGATAGATAGATAGATAGATAATCAGACTCTCAAGCGGTAAACTTTTCGTCTCAGACGGTATCTGCCCAAGTCAGGGGAAGTGTGGATCCTGTTCTTGCTTTGGCAGTGTCCTCCTTAGGTGCTCTCTAGTGATACGGCTGATGGGCAAAATCCTGCATGACCTTATATACCTAAACTACGGGGTTTTATGGTACTATACTATATTTGGGTCATGCAGAATTTTGTCCATCAGCCGTATTTATACAGATCCGTACAAAGACCGTCTTAAAGCCACAGGTTACGTCATTGTACCCCTGGTGCAGCCTCAAAATGTTACCCTGGTGTGGAACCATGTACGACCGCAGTCTTAGTGATGCTAACCTTAATACTATCCTAGTAATCACAGGAGTAAGAAAATCAAGCATAATTACAGACAAAACATGAATGAACATAGTAACGATATTATTGGTATCACGTACTGAGGTAGTGATATCCGCACCACGGAGATGGGTGCCTTGGCAACGGGTACTTGGACGATCATCGGACTTGCTAAGTAAAGGCTTTAATTCAAGGTTTAGGAGTTCGGCTTCAGGGTTTAAGGGAGTGAGTGCGGATATAAGTACTTTACTTGGTGCTTTAATTAAGTGAATAGAAGTATGGTTCGCTTATGCATAAAGTCCCATGATTCTTTAAGTGCTCGAGTTTGGTGGACTTGAGGGACTGGGGTGAAGAGGTTTGGGTTTGGCGTTTGGTGGGTCTCAGACAGCCAGGACGGGTTTAGTGTTTGGAGCACCCAAATAGCGAACACTGGAAGCCAGTTGGTTGTCAGGGTTTAGGGGTTTAGGCTTGGGGTTTAGGGTTTAGGGTTTAGGATTTGGGGGTTTAGGGTTTTGGTTTAGGGGTTTAGATTTTCGTTGGGAGGGGAGGAGGATTCAGACCCCGATGGAATGGGAGCCCTGGAGTGGAACATGTCGGTTGAGCGACCACCGGTGGCAGGTACGTACGATTCCGCGCGCATCTAGCCGCACACCAATGTATAATAATGCAATCTACACAACGGTGTCTTCTTCGTAATAGTCATACAGCAACCACAACTCTTTCACACCTCGTCCGGCTGTTGCTGCCGCTAGTCCTTCTAGTACTAGTATACTTGTACTACCAACAGGATCCCTGTTAGGAGAACAGTTCTGGGTGGTTTGGCCACATGTCTAGTGTGGCTCTGGACAGCACTATGGCAAGCAAGTTTTTTCTATGTTTTGCACAGTTAACACTCAGTTAACGCTCAGTTAACACTACAGTTAGCACGACAGTTAGCACTGCCGAACTGCTGCAAAACCCTACTTTTCTTCACTTCCAACATTAAGAGCAATAAACTTACGTTTTACCTTCTGTAATTATGCATAGTAATTTCACAACAAAATGCTGTTGTCTGCAGTATGTTGGCAGTGTTCAGTGCACGGAACTGACTGGACTGTTAACCGAATGTTAATAACTGTTACGAAAGTACCAAATTTGACAATCCTTGCTTAGTCAAAAGAGCAGATCGAGCCTGCTCACCATGAGCATAGGGAAAGCCCTCCAGAGCTATTTTCGTCAGCCTTTGCAAGCATGCCGCTCCAAAACCATATCCACTGATAGAACCCTCTGCGTATCTCGACTTGACGAGGGTGCTGGGTACGTAGTACTAGTACTAGTACAAGTACTATGACTACTGCTACTACTACTACTACTACTACTACTACTACTGTTACGACGACGACAAGACGACGACGACGACGACCGACGCCTGACGCCCGACGCCCGACCCCCGACGACGACAACGACGACGACGACTACTACTCCAATTTTTGTTCTTCCACGCTGCACATTCATTCAACAGATATTACTAATTAAGCCCTCTGTCCTGTCTGAGGCTTGATGATTCATTTTGAGACGGTGCCGGCGTGTTCTGGCAGCGCTGTGATTGTCGGGGTTGAGGAATTGCTTTGGCCTGAACAGCATACCCCCTAAACCCCAAATCCTAAATCCTCAAATCCCGGCAACTACTACCACCCCAGAAAAGAAGCCTCAAAGAGAGCTTCGGCTCCACAGCTTTCAGTGCTGTTTACTGTCAGGTTTAGGGTTTAGGGCCAGTGGATAGACTCTGCGGTGTACTCCGCAGGTTTAGAGTTCGTGTTTCAGGCTTCGGCTCCGGATTTCGTGCGGGCCAGGTCCAGCTTCGGACCCCTATAATGGAGCGGCCTGAATATTTAAAATAGGGTTTTGGGGTATCAAATATGGTTTAGATGTACTACGAAAGATGAGGAATCATATCAGCAATGGTTCAGGGTTTAGGGTTTAGGGTTGCTTCTATTCCGTTTCTATTTCTCACACCAGGATTTGCAATCCAAAAGGCTGCATGCGGTATGCTGTCCTGCAAGGGGGCGTTTTTGCTTGTCTTTTGGAAGACATACTCCTAAACCCTACCTAAACCTGCATGTCTGCCGGCTATCACACATGCCGATCAAGCCGCTTGCAATGTTCACAGTGATAACAACTATTGAACCACACAAAGATCAGTAGTTGTCATAGCAACACTGCCGAGACAACGGCTCTTGGTCAGAATGCCTGGCCAGCACTGAGTCTTCAAAGCTATAGCTAGAAGTCTAGAAGCATCTGAACCCGAGCTGAAAAGCATCCTTCGCACTGAAGCCGCGAACCAGGTCCAACCCTACAACCCAAACCCCTCAACGCCCAGGTCCATGTTTACGGCCTTTCTGTGCTTTGCCGGTGAGTGCATTGATCGCTCAGGAGCGGTTGCATTCTGTTTGGTTGTAGACCTGAGGGGTCTTAGCGTCTACCTTGACCTACCAAACCCTACTTTTCTGGTTGGGGTTTAGGGTTTAGGGCAAATTGCAAGTTCTGGGTCTAGGGTCATGGTGCAGATTGTCTGTTGGGCTAGCTCGAACTTGTATGGCACAGATTTCGACTAATATAGGGGCCGAAATAATTACCAATATCATTTTGGGGCTCCTTAGCATAAATATACTTTATCTGGCCGCAAAACCCTATTCTGATTATCGAGGCCCTATATTAGGTATGTCTCTGACTGCAACATCTAAAGCTAGACCCGCTTCGGCCGAAACCACCCACCGTATCATATCCAAGCCTAAACCAAGAAGTCCCTAAACCCACACCCTAAACTCATCTAAGCTCCCTCAGCCCTAAACCCTAAACTCTCTAATTCCCTAACTCCCTAAGCCCTAAACCCCTAAACTTACTAATCCCTGAACTCCCTAAGCAATCCTTAAACTCCCTAAACCCCTAAACTCACTAATCCCTAAACTCCCTAAGCCCTGAAAACCTAAACTCACTAATCCCTAAACTCCCTAAGCCCTGAAAACCTAAACTCACTAATCCCCAAAGCTGCCTAATCCCTAAATTCCCCTAAGCCCTAAACCCCTAAATACTCTAACCCCTAAACCCCTGAATTCACTAATCCCTAAACTCCCTAAGCCCTAAACGCCTAAATAACCTAACCCCTAAACCCCTAAATTCATTAATCCCTAGACTCCCTAAGCCCTAAACCCCTGAATACCCTTTACTTTCCCTTCCAGGAAGGCCGATCCCTACTCTGATGGCTGAAACTTACGGATTTCCCTTTGTGATGGGCTACGTCGTGCCGCTCGGTTCAGGGAGTCTAAGCTTCAGGGAGCTTTGCTGGGGGCTGTGGGAGTTTATGCATTATTTAGGGTTTGGCTTCTAGGAAGCTAGGAAATGTTTCTGATCTAGGATTTTGAAAAAGCATTCTTTCGGGTTTGGGGTTTAGTAAACCCAAACCCTATAACCCTAAGCATCCCTAAGCCCTAGACCGTTTCGGGCTTCGGGCTTAATTAACTCGGCAGAAGGAATTGGAGGGGCGGGGGCTGTAAGGGTTTACAAGGGTTCGGAGGCAACTCTCTGAAGGGGACTCCATGGGTTTTAGGGTTTTGGGGTTTGGGGTTTAGGGTTAGGGTTTTAGGGTTCAGGGTTCAGGGTTTAGGGTTTTAGGGTTTAGGGCTTTAGGGTTTTAGAGTTCAGGGTTTTAGGGTTTAGGGTTTAGGGTTGTAGGGTTCAGGGGTTCAAGGTTTATAGGGTTTAGGGTTTAAGGGTTTAGGGTGGTGGGGTTTTAGGGGTTTGTTGGTTTAGGTTTGGGGTTTCTGGGTTTTAGGGTTTTGGGTTTAGGGCGGTTGGGCCTGACTTGAAGGATCATGAGACTGAGTAGGTGAGGTTAAAGGTGCCTTGAACAAATTGGGCTGTAAGTAAATGTACCTCATACTTGCAACCCTAGTAA